CCCAGCACTAAGTTCAACATAAATGGAGAGCTGGAATTTTCCCTAGACCCGTGGGTGAATCTGACACGTCAGGAGACATGACACACAGTAACTGACTTTGACCTTGGGGTCCCGTCCTGCCCAAACACAGGGGCTGCCCTGACCCCCCCATCTCAACAGTAAGCCTCATTCCGTGCGAACCCTGTGCAAAGCACCACAGGGTCAGTGCAGTGAGACACCCCGTTGCCCATGTGGTGGCTGTGACCAAAACACCAGCCAAGCACAGACGCTGGCGCAGGTGCGGAGACAGGGCGACCCTCCGGCGTGTAAAGTGGTGCAGCTGCATGAGAAATGGCATGGCACCTCCCCGAAAACTTAAACAGAATCGCCACACCATCCAGCAGTTCCCGTGGGAACTGAATGCAGGGGCTTGAAAAACGGACATCCGCACACCGGAGTCCTGGGGGCATCACTCCTCACAGCCTAGGCGGGAATGGCCCACACATCCGTCAGGGGGCGGAGCCTGTGGGTGAACCGACTGCCCCAGGTCGCTGGCTCCACCTGGGTCCCGGCCTGCCGGCTGCTGGACTGGACCACAGCAGCTCTCCGAGCCCCAGTTGGCCGAGCGTCCCTGCAACTCTGGGTGCTCCTCAGCACCCCCGATCCCATGAGCCGATTCCTCCTTTGGTCCCACGTGTGCAGCGCACACCCTCTTGGTGGGGGTTCCCTGGAGAGCCGTGACTGACAGTGGCCAAGGCAGGGTTCAGAGGCAGGCGGCAGCTCCCTGTCCACGCAGTTCACCCCAAGCCCCTCTGCGAATCGGCCAGGAGGAAGGAAGGGGTGTCCCTGCTCCGCGCAAACCAGAAACCCAGGGCGTGGGGGGCAGTGCCAGCCGGAGTCCCAGGGCCGGGCCTGTGGGCATCAATACCGCCTTTCCCACTCCACGAAGACCCGCTGCGTGGGGGTCAAGGCAGGAAGTGGTGCCTGCTGAGGCGGCCCAGCCCGCCCCAGGTGGCCCGCAGGCCCTGCTCAGGACCAGGAGCTCCCTTCAAGGCCTGGACTGCAGGGTGTACGCGACCTGGGCCCTCGGCCGCCTGGGGGACAAGTGCATCTCCCCGTCACCATCCTGGAAACAGGCAGCAGAAGGAGAGGCGGCGGACTCTACTGTGAGGTTTCCTTCTGCAAAGCCAGTCTCCACCCAGGACATGCGCCCAGTGGACACCTGCCCTGGGGGCAGTCACTGGAGCACCCCCTCAGGGTCTCCCTCTGAACCCGCCACTCCACCCCTTTACGGGGCCACAGACAAGCTTCTGCCTAACCTTCCCCGCAGCCGGGGCTTCCTCCATGGGCTCCTGGCTTCCGCCCTAACCCTTTGCCCTCATTACCCATCATCACCCTCACCGCCAGCCGTTCCGTGCTTGCTACAGGCCGCGCACTGTTCCGGGCACAGTACACACGTGTGTCGGGACACTTGATCTCACCACAAGCGTGTGGCCCAGGTCCTGTGATCGTGCCCGATTCAAGGACGGAAAAACTCGCCCGAGAGGTAAGGTGGCGCCTCTGACTGGATGTCCCATCCCGTGCGCACTCCCACCTCAGGCCAACACTGCTCCCTCACCCACGCCCTCCCTCCTCCACCCAAGGCACCCCTGGAGCTCTCTGGCTGGGACCCCCTCCCTCCGGTTCGCCTGAGGATGCCATACCAGGGTCAAAGATAAATAACAAGGATTCCAAAAGACCCTTCATCCCAACTGCGGCGGCCTGGCCTCAGGAATCTACCACCCTGCTGGTTAAACCCACGCTTCAATCACCCCAAAAGTATGTCAAATCCTTGCATAAACACTGCTGCCGTGGCCCCTTCCGCAGAGTCTCATTACAGTGAGTTGGGTCGCAGCCAGAGCTCTCGGCCGAGAGAACAGACACAGGAGGAAGGGACAGACACTGTTTTCCCAAGGAAAAGGCAGGGTCACCCTCTGCCACCGCCCAGGTGTCACAGAGAAACGGCCTCTCCCTCTCACAGCCTGCGGGGAGGAAAACACGTCCTTCCGCCCTCTGCTCTAACAGGTTCCACTTCCCGAGAAACGTAACTCTGATTAAATATTGATAGCCAGCGGTATTAATTAAGGGGAAAAGTCCATCAAGAGAACCCCAATATGTTTCCAGTGTCCCCGGGAATCTGGGAAAATTCACAATCAAGTGCGTAAATATTCTAAAAAGGCGTCCTGAATATTTTATGAATATTTGTCATAAAACAGAAATAATAACCAGTGTGCAGAGCTATTAGAATTAATATTTATGCTGCCCGCCATGAAATATGCATGGGGACAGAGAGAGGGGGGCCCGTAAGACAAGAATTAATTTACACTGGGCTCGGTTTACCCGCTGGCTTGATGTTTAAAGACGGTTGACAAGCCTCCCTATGAATCCGCCAGTCACTTGCCGCAGTCGGCGGAGGGCGGGGGTGGGGACGGTCCGGGCCCCTGACAGCCCACAGATTGAGTTTCTGACAGCCCTTAACAACCTAAACGGCCCCCCACCTTTTTTTCCTTCTTCCGTTGCCCAAGGCGCTCTGTTCTGCCACCGTTCATCGGATCGCCCCTTCCATCTGCTGGAATTAACGAATTAATGAGCGCGGTACGCTTTATGGCGGGGCCTATGAATGTTTACAGGCGATTAAATTATAATGCGGGCGGCTGTATAATTCATGAACCAATTAAAGGGAGTGTTAGTTGATTTGATGGGGTGAGGGCGTACAAAATGCATTTAACTAATGGGGAGCCGCGGGCTGCGAGGCCGGCTCCTTCTCTCTCGGATTACTCGGCTAATTGCTGCGCTTTATGGGGCTGTCACCGACAGCCATGCATATTTCATCGTCCTCAAATACCTCGGTTGTGCCGGCCGAGTCGGGCTGTAACTCGGCGGAGTCGGGCCAAACAGGGCGGTAGTGGCCGAGACCGCGGAAACCGGAGCTGGGGCGTCGGGTGTCCCCCGCCATTAGGGGATTAGAAGGGCTCAGCCTGCGACTTGCTTTTGTTTTACCAACAATTCCGGATGCTGGCTTCATGACAGTGGCAACGCTGGGGGCCCTGGCCGCCTTTCTGTGGGGCAGGCGGGGGAGGAACTCCAAAGCCGCCCCATGATGGCCCCACCACGCCTGGTCCTCAGGTCGCCCCGAGGGCCCGGGCTCCCGCAGGGCACTTCACCCGGGTGCTTTGTGAGCTGAGGTTTTCCTCCAGGCCTGACTCTGTCCCTCTGCACAAGGTGGCCACTCGAGGCCTCATTAAACGCAGTCAGTGGCAACTTAGACTTCAACTCGAAGCATGTGCGTGTGCCAGGGAGGAAATCACACCGCAAAGCAAACGAACCTGCCAGAGAACGGCATCCGGGCGCTCAGAAGACAGCGCGCTTCCCCGGTGCCGTGGGCAGGGACGAGACCGACTTCCTAGCTGGGGCAACGAGGTGTCTGGTCCAGAGAGATGCCACCGTCGCGGCAGCAAATGGCAAACCCTGGGATGCCCAGGACGGTGGCCAGAGGTCACAGTCCAGGACCAGGCCTCACAGGTTCTCCCCTCCGAGGTGGCCACGGGTGGTGGGGGTTGGCAGAACCATCCACGTGCTTCATATTTGGCCTGGCATGTAACGATTCCCCGAGTCACTTGAGCCTATGTTATTATCACGTGACGTTAGAGGCTTCCACTAGTGCCACTGCAGGGGGGCGCTGAGCCCGCCAGCCCCTCCTCCGCAGACGCAAGAGTGCCCCAGCCTGCCCACCCCCACCCGGGCCTGGGTGCTGGGCTGGCAGGGGAAGCAGCCAGGACGTCCCCCAGGGGCTCGGCGCGGGCAGGCCCTTGGGGCCAGTGCAGGGCGAGCTCTGACTGGACGAGACAGCGGCAGGAGTCCAGGGCCCCCAGGTCAGGACACCAAATGGTGCCCTCCTCCAAGGACGGGGGAGGGCAGATGAGGTGAGTGGAAGTGACTGCACCTGGACTGTCTGCCCGCGACTGAGGCATAGGTGGCACTGGCAGTGGGTCACCGGGTGGATTAAGTGTGTTCTGGGTTCGGGTAAAACCAAAGCACCGTCTCCCAAGGGCTTACTGTGTGCGGCGACCATGCCACGCGCTTCATCAGCACGGCCTCGTGCCATGTCCCGAAGCTCATACCAGCACCCTCGTGCAAACGTGGGGAACCGGGCACTGGGCGTCTTGGTTTGGGGACCCCTCCTCAGCAAGTGCTTGTGAAAGTGCAGGGACACAGGGGCGAGTTTCCCGCTGTGGGACGTGCACCCCAGACGCGGCACAGGGGCCGGGAGGAGGGGGTGGCGGTGGCGGTGTGCGTGCCCCGCACTCTGAGGGGAAAGGAGCCTGTGGAGGCTGCTGGCCCGAGGCTGGATCTGATAGGAAGGCACTCGGCGCACCAGCCGGACTCTGTGACCACAGGGAGAATCTGGCAGAAGACACGAGCCTGGGGGAGGGTTTAGGGGGCTCAGAAGGACCCGGCTGACTGCAGCTGGAGGCACCTCGCTGGAGGGATGAAGGGCACAGGCCCGGGGCCAGCCCGGCAGCATGTGGGCGCCGAGACAACACCCCCACCTGCCCGCTGCAGAGAAAACTAGGGTTAAACTGTTTATCTGGCTGTGCCCCCGGGTTAAACTCCTTCAGTAAACCCACCTCGGAGGCGACACCGGAGCTTCTAGATAAAGCCTTTCTGTCCTTGGCGGGGAGCCCAGGGCTGCGACGTGAGACTGCCGGGCTCCGGGGGCTGTCGGGACCACACCTGCCATCCGCAGCCCAGGCCCCAAGGGCCTGCTGGAAGCCCCCGCAGGCCTCGCCCTGCAGCGACCTGGGGCCTGCAGGCGTTAGAAAGGGGGTGGGGGGTGTGAGCCACTCCCCCGATGCAAACATGGAGCACAGGGAACACATTAAGTGGAAGAAGGGGATGTGCAGAGCGTCTAAAAATGCCAGGGAGGTTGGTTTTCTCCGATATCCGGAATACTTACTCAGCTGTGCTTTCTCACTCTGCAGTAAGTGGATTCCCGGAGCGATCACCTGCTGGGAGTGTGCGCGGACAGCAACCTTCCCGACCCCCGACCAGCCCTGCTCTGCAGACCCGCCGGTCCGGGGTGCACCTGGCTTCCTCCCAGTCATGCGAGTCTTAGCTAATCACCCCTTCCCCGGATGTGCCTTCCTGTGTCATCGAACCTGCCACCGCACTCTCCTCCACGCCACGGGGCACTCTGCCTTCCTGGACGTGTCTCCTTTGCTGTGGGTCACTGTCCCCTGGGCATCCAGGATCTGGGACGATGCCTGGAGTAGCAACGGCCCAACCGGGCTCCCAGCTGAGCTGTGTCCCTCAGGGGCCACCCAGCATTCCCACGAGGCAGGAGGTGACGTCATTCTTCACCCCTTCGACTGATGAGAAGGCCAAAGTTCAGAAGGGTGAAGCTGCCTACGAGTCACCACCGCCCCCGAGCTTTCGCCCTGCTGGGCCTGGGCCTCACTGATGGGCACCTTGCAAGATCCCCTGCAGGACCAGCGCTTGCCGGGCAGCAGCATGACGCCTCAGTCTGGCTCAGTGGCGTGGCCCCGAATGTCCCCCTAGGAGGGCTTTGGGCAGCAGCCCACTGACATGCGTTCATAGAACGTGTCTACAGAGTCCCAGTTGGCTTGGCTGGTAGATGGACTTCATGGAGGGGCCGAAGCCACCCTCGGCCCTGCCACAGGCGTGCTGGTCCTTGGTCGGGACATGCCCTCGGGCATGGGCTCCCACTGGTGGCTCCGGACATGTTGGTGCCCTTGCAGGAGGCCTGGCAGTCCCCTCCCCCAGGTGGCCCTGAGGCACGCCCCCCATGCCCTGCTAGGGTGCAAAGGGCACCTTCACTGTGGCAGGACCCCTCTCCAGTGCTTGTTCCTGGGCCCCCCAGAGTGGCACAGGGTGAGGGCAGAGGCCACAGACCTCCCCTGGGGTGAAATAACCGGCCTCAGCCCAGGAAGCTCAGACGGTGCCCACAAGTCCCCAGTAATCCATTTGGCTGAGCAGACGCCGGGGAAGAAAGAAGCAAGGACAGGGGTGCCAGAGCCCCCTGCAGCAAAGGGACACACAGGCCAGAGGGGGCACGAGGCAGGAAACAAGAGGCGCTGAGCAGACTGTGGTTCTGGCGTTTCTGAAGCGCCCTGGCCCACAGTTCTGTCTGTAACAGGCACCTGCTGCATGTCAGCCCAGGACAGAGAGGGCCAGTGGCATTTCACTGCCTTTCAGCAGGACTGCAGGCACCAACAGGGCCAACACAGGGAGAGAAGTCGGCTCACGGCAGTGGGAGCCCTGGGGCACGGGGTGCTTTGAGACAGGAGGACATCTCTGAACAGCGAGATTTTCCTAGAACAGGCAAATGAGGGAACCGGGGCGAGCCCCCAGGCCCACCCGATTGGATGGGAGTGACCAGAGCCCCGCCCCCTCTTCTACCCCAAAGGTCAGGCTTTCTTGGTGAGACCGTCTGCTGGCTCGTGCCTGCAGCTGTTCCACAAAGCGACACTTGAGCAAAACGCAGTGTTTCCGCCTCCCTCTTCCCCCCAGCCACGCCTGTCTCACCTAATGGTCCAATATCTCCCAGTCTGATTCGATTTTTCTCCAGCCACTTACAGAAAAAGGCCTTGCGGCCAAAACATTACCGCTGACCTGATTAGCCAGGCTTCGCTGATATTTTTATCAGCATTTCCCCTTCTTCCCGCTGACAGGAGCCGGCCCACACTGCCGCGGATATCTGGACTACAACCTGGTTGTCTGAAATATTTAACAGGCTTCGCTATTTTCCATGTGTCAGGGAGCTGAGCGCCATCACAGGGGCCTGCCCTGCACCCAAGACCTCCCCGGGGAAGAGTCTGTGGGTGCGGCACCCTCCACCCCTCCTGGGAGGCTGAGCTCTGGGGTGAGGGGACCCTGCAGGGCAGGGCTCTGCCCTGTCGCCAGCCCCCACCCCTGCGTCTCTCCCGAGCCTGCACTGAGCGCACAGCACACCACCACGGGGCACGAGGGAGCTGCTGCGAGCACCCGCCACCCCCACAGCTGTGGCCCGGGCAGCGGGCCAGCGGCAGCGCCCCGGGCCCAAGAGGCCCCCAGCAGCCCTCTGGTTCTGCAGGCCGGTTGCCTCAGACCCAGGATCGGGTCCAGTTCTCTAAGATTTCCAAGGAAAGAGGGTTGGTTAGTCGTCAGTCTTTGTTTTCGGGGTTTGTTTTTTTTTTTTTGGCCGCTTATGCCAACACCACAAAAGCCCTTTCGATCCAGGCTCTCGCTGATTCATTCCAGACGCCTGTTCTCCTCTCGGAGGAAGGGCCAGAGGGGCAGCGCACCCTGCCCCTTGCGGGGAGGAGCCGCTCCAGGTAAAAAGCCCTTTGCCCGCCTCCCTGCCAACCACAAGTCCGTGTCTGGCCACGGAGAGAGGACGGGCAGGGTGGGGGTCACCTGCCAGGGGCCACGCTCCAAAACGCAGACTGACCCTGAACCGATCCCCTCCCCCCAAAATGGCTGCACCCTGCTGATGTGACTCCCAACATTTTCCAGGCCAAGCCCTCGGGGCTGGGCCATCCCACTGTTTGGAGTTCAAGACGAGCTTTTCTAGGCGCAACGCACAGCCTAACTCACGTCCCGCCACCCCCTGGGCAGGTTCCATCTTCACAGCTACTCTGGCGGGTAGGGGAGTGGCCTGCTCGAGGTCACGTGGCCAGTGAACGGCCGAGCGGGACTTGAACCTGTGCATCCTGGACCCTCACAGCTGCCACACCTGGCAGGTGGGGTGGGGCGCATCCCACCCACACAGCTGCTCCGCCCAGCGTCGGGGCCACCGCAGGCCGGGGCTGTTAGGCCACGGTCTGCACCTGGCTGGCTGCCACCCCCTGCCGGCCCCCACACACCTCACTGGCACCCGGGCAGTCCCTTTCCCAGCCACTGCACCTTTGCCCCTCGGATCAGACACCCGATGGGCCCGGAGCTGGGGGCTGGACTGACAAGTTGCCGTCACATGGCCACTCAAGGTCACTGCCGGCCTGACAGACGTGTTCACTAGATCGGCACCTAGAGACTCTGCCTGGCTGGCTTTCTCTACTGTATAACCAGATGTCTCACAGAGCCATTTCCTCCCCAGACACAGGGTGGGACAACAGTAGGTTTACTGTTGTTTGTTTAACAAATAACAAGAATGAACTGTGGCCCTGGCTGGTGTGGCTCAGTGGACTGAGCCCAGGCCTGCGAACCAAAGGGTCACAGGTTCGATTCCCAGTCAGGGCACATGCCTGGGTTGTGAGCCAGGTCTCCAGTTGGGCCTGTGCAGGAAGCAACCACACACTGATGTTTCTCTCTCTTTCTCCCTCCCTTCCCCTCTCTCTAAAAATAAATAAATAAGATCCTAAAAAAATGAATAAACTGTGTTTCACATACTCAAAACCGTACAGCTAATTTTGCCGCACCCCGTACGTGCTTCTGTTCTCAAACCTTTATTGGCCTCTCCGTCACAGCGGGGGTTTTATGGGCGCCCTGTACCACTGTGAGTTACGTGCACAATTTCGGGCCCATCCAATCCCAGCTCGGCCCTGCACCTGTCTCCGTGACGCCGCAGCACTAGCCTGAGTGCCCGGCAGATGACGACGGACCGCACCCGTCCAAGGGCGGCCACAGAGAGGGACATTTCGGTCCGGGAGCAGCCGGGGGGGGGGGGGCTCCTTTCCACCGCCCGGTGGTGCGGTTGGCGGGGCGGGAGCCCAGGGCCCAGCTGATGAGTCTCCCTGCCCGACCAGGCCCTCCAACACTCTGGCTCCGGGAAGGGAGTGGCCACGTCGCAGATGAGGCGGGGCCTGTCCTTCCCTCCGATGAGCAGAGGCGCTGTCGCAGAGCGGCGAGGCCTCGCCGGGCTGGGGGTCAGTCCAGTCCGCTCTGAAGCGGGGCAGCGCGGCACACTGACCCAGGTCAGACAGGTGGCGGCTGCGGCCTGCCGCTCGCTTGCACGGTCACCTCACTCACACGCTTCCTGTGCTGTCCGGGTGCACCTCGCAGCAGCTCTGCACTGAGCGCACTGTTCACACCACTTTGCAGGTACAGGAACCGCGGGTCCGAGAGGTGAAGTGACTGGAAAGAGGTGGCGGTGCCGCCGCTCCCTCCGCGTGGCAGGCCGCTCCTCCCGACGTCCCATCAGCCTCCAGGCGGCCACAGGTCTCAGAGCTGAGCAGAGCTTGTGAGTGACCGTCCACCCCTCAAGCGGCTCCCACCAGAGAGTGGGCTGCTGTGCCGTTCCGCTCACTGGCCCTGCACATGGCACGTGCTCACACCAGGTCACGCTCGGGTCTGACTCCGAATCACACGCGTTTACCCTGCACCTGCCGCTTCCAGAAGATGTCTTGGCAATGCCTGCCGGCGGTCGGTGCCCAGGGGCGCTGAGTGGCCTGCTTCCAGCGGGTGCTCTGGTCCATTCCATCCTGGCTGCACATCTGCTCTCACAAACGACAGGGGTTCCTGACCTGCTTCTACCACCAGGCGCCGGGGCCAGCGGCCCGAGGGGGTCTGTGCCCAGAACTTCCGAGGCCCAGCCTCCCCAAAGGCCACCTGCTGGGGGCCCACCGACCGACCTCGGGCTGCTCCCTCGCCCCCACTCTCCGTGGAGGGCGGCGTGTGCCGGTTTCCAGCTTCCTGAGAAGGCAGCCCGGGTCTCCTGAGGACGACCGCCTTTCATGATGGGCCTTTGTGTTTGCAGGCTTGTCAGGTTTTAGTTGTGGCTAGAGGCTCAAAGCAGTAAAAATGGAAATAATTGCCATTACTTAAAATACCCGATATGTAAATCACAAAGCAACCGCTGTGGGCGGTAAAACCATTCTTGAAAGAAAACATTTAGGCGTATTTTAAATCCATCCTTGATCCTAAGGAAAAAAAATATGCTCCCTAAAAGTTGAGTCCCACGGGTCAAACGTTTCCATAGCCTGGGCGTGTGCCTGCAGTTCCACGGCACTGTGCCACCGGCCCAGGCAGCTGCAGGGCCCTCGCGCTCAGAGCCGGCCAGTGTCCCTGCTGGCCAGCCGGCCAGTGTCCCTGACCTCAACAGAGCCTCTGTTTCTGGGAGGTTCTGGCTGTTTCTGAAGGACACCCCACCTCCGGCCCACAGTGCTAGCACCCACTGAAAAAAAACCGCAGCGGCAGCTCAGCTGCCCCGCATCTGGGACTTAATCTGCAGAGGCCGCCTTGCGGATGCGGGGCGCGCGTCCTGGGCGTTTGCTGCAGCGCTGGTTGCCAAGTGACGGGAAGGAACCCGTCAGGATGCCCTTCCACAGGCAGCCGGGTGAACCTGACCGCGGAGCTGCAGGCTGGGGCGCCGTGGGGCCGGGGTGAGAGCAGGTGGCCGTGCTACAGGGAGACGGAGCCAGACACACGACAACACGGAGCACCGAGTCGCGTTGAGGACACACACCTGCTCCCGTGTACGGCAGCCGTGCGCCAGTCGCCGCCTACAGAAAAGGAAGGCGTGTGTGTAGGCCTCCGTACCAACGTGCAGAGGTTTTATGTACGGACACCCTACACATTAGGACACGTGGCTGCTTCTCGGGGAGGGAGGAAAGGTCTGGGGGAAGGACGGGGCTTAATGTTTTCACCGTTTTTTACTCTGACATATTCTGATACATAAAAGTAAGTGATGCACCATGTAATCATTCTGGCCACAGCTATTCATCAAGAACTTACTATGCGCCAGGCATTACTTTGGGAGTTCGAGACATATTGGTAAATAAGAGATTTTTTTTCCTAGAAGAATTTTACATAGAACGTAAAACGAACCCTGTGACCCCCCCATGGGAGCAGTGCATCACCCCAACACTGAAACACTCTGGGTGGCCCTAACCAATCCTATTCTCTGCCTACACTCGTGTTGGCAGACAATCCGACCGGTGGGGATTTTTAAATGCGCACCAGCACCCACACACCGCTCGGTTGGCTGCACCTGCCCTCTCGCTACTCACTTTGCCACTTCACGTTATTTTCCTAAGACCCCTGCACGTGACGTGCACAGCTGGGCTCGCTCCCTGCCGTCGAGGGGCGGCCTGGCGCTGTGTGTGGGGCTGGTTCCGCACCCGCGATCACACGTGTGCAGCTGCGGGGCGGCCCAGGCAAGAGCGCGAGGGTGGGGAGCTCCGCTCCGCTCTGAAGAGTCGCTGAGCTCGCTCGCTCGCTGGGGGGCTGTTTGCATTTTCTCTCTCTCCTGGTGTCCGTGCTGGTGAGGCTGCTTCTCTGACTCCCGCCTTAGCTCTGCTCCCAGATTCAGTGTCGGAACACGGCCCACAGTTTCTTCTGACCCCTTCACACGCTGTCTGTGCACAGGTGCACATGCTTATCCCTAGTGCTGTTTGTCGGTGCGCTCTCTCTTCCTGTCGCCCAGCCTTGCCAGACACACGTCAACCGTGTTCGTTTTGTCAGAGAGCCAGCTCTGCCCATTGTGTCACTTTCCTTTCTGTCCCAATTTCTGTTCCAGTCGCCCCCGTCCTGCCGTCCCCGGGGTTTATTGTTCTTCTCCCCTAAGTCAGGGGCTCAGATCACCAGTTTCCAGTTGTTCTTTGGGACTTATTTGTCACTGAATATTTATCTGTGCTCCTTCAATCTCTGACTCTTTTCAACTAAAAGAGCAAAGGAACTTGTTAATGTGCACACCCGTCGGCTCGGCAGTTCCACTTCCATGGATTTTCTCTGAGACGATGACCAAAACAGCACGCCTGTTTGCGTGCACACGTGCCGCCGCGCCGTCCGTGACAGAGGAGGACTGGAAGCGCCGCCTGCTGGCCGGTGTGCGGGCAGCTCGCCACACACCTGGGCTGTGCCATCGGGCCATGTGACACACCTCACGGGCGTTTAACGAGGTCTAGCTTTACGTAACGATATGTCCGTTATATTTTATTATGCAAAAAAGTAAGTCACATAAGGACCTCACACTCTATTCATTTTTTGTTGTTTAAAAAAAAAACGCATCAGAAAGCAGTGGGGGTTGGGCCCAGCCACACCCCGTAACGGTGCCTGGTTGGTGCAGTCATCTGCGGTGACTGTGAGCACAGGCCGTCTCTGCCCTCCGGGAGTGGAAGCAGACCAGGAGGAGGGGGGCCGGCGGCCAGTGCTGGGCGGGGAGGCAGGCAGGGGCCACGGCAACACATGGGAGGGGCTGCCGGGCAAGTTTCCCCCAAGACAGTGTCTGAGTCCTCGAAACACAGTGCACGGGGTTCATGGAGGTGCTGTGTGGGGCAGGGGGGGTAGGGCAGGGCCAGGATCCCTGCCCCACCCACCCCATCACTCAAAGGCTGGTAGCCTTGACCCCGGGGCTCTCAGCCTCTCTGAGCTCCAGGTTTTTTGGGGGGTAGGTAGAATAAGAGCCTTGAACAGATGATCTCTAGGCATTCTTCGAAGTCTGGAATTCTCTGTGGACCTTCTCCAGCTCCACGGTGGACTGGTGCTGAATCCAAAACCTCGGGACGACACTGAGCACCAGCAGCCAAGCCTCCCCCGAGACTCCTGCAGGCAGGGACTCCAGCCCAGCACACTCCGCAGTGTGGGTGGAAGGAACGGAGGAGAGGCCGAATGAACGACTAAATGAGCGAAGTCGGTGTGCGAGGAAGACACAACAGACAGGCTCGGGCGGGATTTCACAGACGTTCCTCCACTGTGGTCCTTCAAGGCGGACACAGGCTCCGCCTGCACGCAGCTGAGTGCCGGGAGGCTGAGCCAGCCGCGCAGGGCGCCGCCTCTCCTTCCTACAGAGCCCAGCCTCCCGGCCCACTGCCACTCGCCAGCCCTGCCAGGTAATCGGATCGCTGTTAATTAATAGAGCTGTCAGGTGCACTGTCCTCGCTGGTCATTAGTATCCTCTCAGAAAGAGAACCCTGCCATCGCCACCCCATCCGCCCCGGCTGGCAGCTCAATTAACTTAATGCTATGCAAATGAGAGGCTCTTCTTCTCATCATTAGGTTATAGTCCACGAATGTTAATCGCATAATTGGGCCTTCAACGGGGTAATTAGACACGATTTCGCCCATTAGTCTTACAAGGCTAATCATTGTTGAGAGGAGAGGGGGCGGCTCCCCAAGCTCCTCGGGACGGGGCAGCTGCTTACAGCAAACAGAGCGGAACCCGGGCCGGGTTCAGGGGTGGTCACGGCCCACCGTCCCCGTCCGTCTCAGGGGCAGGCGAGGGAAGGGAAAGGGGACACAGGGAAGGCCCCAGGCATGAGGCATGACTGCAGGGTGGGCAGCTGCTCGCCTGCCCGTGAGCTGGACTGGAGACCAGCAGAGCAAGCGAGGCAGCGGCCAGCCTGCGCCCAGGAGACCTGCCCCAGACCCGCTCACCAACAGGACACGTCGGTCTCAGGGCCTCCGCTTCTCCC